CACACACACACACACACACACACACACACACACACACACATTTTTTAGTCTACAGTCTACATATGAGAGAAAATACATTGGGTTTGCCTTTTTGAGTCTAGCTTACTTCGCTTAACATAATTATCTTCCACACACACACACACACACACACACACACACACACACACACAATTTTTTAGTCTACAGTCTACATATGAGAGAAAATACGTTGGGTTTGCCTTTTTGAGTCTAGCTTACTTTGCTTAACATAATTATCTGCTTGATCGTGTGTGTGCGTGCAGGTATACGTGAGCATGTAGAAGAACACGTGAGTGTGTGTGGAAGACAAGGGACGATATCAGCTATCATATTCCAGAATGCATCTATTTCCTTTCAAGAGCGTTAACTCACTGGCCTGGAGCTCGCAAACTAGGCTAACTGGGTCCTCAGTAAGTACCAGGCATCTTCCCGTCTCCACTTCCCAGGACTCAGATTACTCACACAAGCCCCACGTCTGGCGTTTTTAAAAGGTTCTAAGGCCTGAACTCGGGTCCTCATGTTTTCATATCAGATATTTGGTCAACTGATTATTTCACAGCCCTCCTTGCACTTTTTTCCTATAAATGCCCTGGTTTCATTTTCTTCATGGTTGAACAAAGCTCCATTGTGTATATATGGCATATTTTTGATCCATTTATCTGTTAGTGGATACCTAGCTCATTCCATTTCTTAGCAATTGTGAACAGTGTCACAGTTAAGCCTGAATGTGGAAGTGACATGCTGACTTAGAGCCCTTCAGGTATATGTCCAGGAGTGGGAAGCCACTTTTTATATAGAAAAAAAGTCATACTTATATTACATAGATATGAATATGGCATTTGTTTATAAAATTAAAAAGAAAGAACAACAAAATTTTAACTACCTATTTATTTACTCTAAAAAATAATACCTAAATTTTAAAAATACAGTTAGGAACTGGAAGAAATATCTACGTATGTATTTAATACATACCAACAAGAAAATAATTTCTGAGAAGAAGCTGAAAGCAGAAAAAAGGAAAATTCGAACAACCAGTCCTTACACATTAGCAGTAAAATGAATACAAAATACAACAGCATGATTCCATGTTAGTGTCCAAGATTACCTTCTCCCCTACAAAAAGATTAAGCAACGGAAGCCAAGTTTGATGGCAGAGGAGTATGGTGAAGAGACTCTTCTTATAGCCTTGTGGAGGGATGGGAGATTGTCAAGATAACAATAATGATAATGATAATTATATGGTAACTAATGTCCCCTAAGCCTTTGCTATGTGTCATAAACTGTCCTCAGCACCACCATACCGAGTAGAAGATGAGTTTTGTAACTAATCATTCATTTAAAAATAGGTTAAAATGTGTACAGAATGCTTACCAGGTATGATGGCACACACTTGCAGTCTCAGCAGACTGGAGGTTGAATCAGGAAGATCGTAAGTCAGTGGTGAGCCTAGGCTATATAGCCAAAGCACCTTTTTTTTTTAAAAAAAAAGTGCTGATTCCACTTTTTTAATGTAAAAAATATATGTTACTTTAGGGGCTGGGGATATGGCTCAGTATTTAAGAACACTTGTTGCTCTCCCAAAGAACTGCGCACCCACATTGGGTGGCTCTCAGCACCCACATTGGGTAGCTCATAACTGCCTGTAATTCCAGTTCCAAGGGGTCTAACACCCGCTTCTGGCCTCTGTGGGCATACATACATACAGACAGACACACACATCTACACATAAATAAAAATAAAAATAGATATTTAATGTGTGTATATATACATATATTTATACATATCCACATAAACATGGATGTATCCAGAGAAAAAAATGTCTGAATGTATTTCCAGCAAAATGACTACAGTAATTTTCTATAGGAACAGAAGTCAATAATTTATTTTTATCTATGTATTTATTTTCTATAATAATCTTTTATCTGTAAAATAATAATGTTGGACCACCTATGACTATTTCAGTGACTACAGCAATGCAGTCTTAGCATCCATTGATTGAGAAAATATATTATAAGCTAAAGACAGCTTGAAGCAGAACTTTTAGGAAAAGAGGGGAAAAAATAGGTTAAGAACAGATACTTTGTATTGAGCTATAATACAACTAAGTCTCATTTTGGCAATTTACTACTCGTATGAAATCTTGGGCAGGTAAATGGTATTTTGAGGCCTCAGAACATCCATCTGTGAAATGGGATTACATGATTGGTATTCCTTTCTCAGGCTTTCCTAAGAATTAAATGATGGCAGATCTCCATGAGGCTCATGGTGTGACCTAACACATAACAAGTTCTCAACAAATTATTTTATTATAAAACATATTCATCCCTTAAGGAAGCATTTATTAAAAGTGAACTATGTAAACTGTTAAATAATGTATGATACCAACCTTTGAAACCTGTCTTTGTCTAATCGCTAATTTGGCCCTTCCTTGCAATAATCCAATAGCTCACTTTACTGTGTTTCCTAAGTGCCAAACTCACTGAAAATTTTTCTATGCCATATAATTATCAAAGTACCTTGTGAATAAAATACTATTATTACCCCACTTCCTAGATGAGGAAATGTAAGCAATTGATGAGAAAGTTTGTGAATACACAGGTCTGAATTCCAACCCAGACTTCCTAATCTGTCTCTGTACCTCTCTAGCTCATACACACCCATTAGAAACAGGATACATGTTACTTAGGCTGGCCTTGAAGTCATTTTATAATTCCAGACTGGCCTTAAACTCATGATCTTCCTTCCTCGGCCTTTTGAGTAGCCTGGATTACAAGATCTCATCACCATGTCTGGCTAAGAGACTGCTCTCTTAATTTCCACAAGGGCCATCCTGGCTGTACTGTGTTCCCCACAGGACATTGTTCATAGATAACTCCATGATGACCAAGTATCCTTCCATGACTCTGTGGATGGTCCTGCCTCTTCCTGAGTGGGCAATAAGACCATCAAATATTAAATAGAATGGCCAAGGCCAAGTACTTTTTGTGCCCTGCTGCCTAGCCTGGTGAAGGGCACAGTCTAGGTAACAATGTTAAAATGTTTTCTTTAACTATAGGCTCTATTCTGGGAAAGTCCTGTTCTGTTCATTCAGTCAGACATTTAGGAAGAAAACGAGCTCTGATGGGCGACAGTGGAGGGCAAGGAGGAAATCTCCTTCTACTACTTCCTTTCCTCATGGGCATTTGTGGAAGATGCACTGTGAGAAATAACAACACGATGAGCCCTGGGATACCAAAGAATCATGCTCTCCTGCACACCGAAACTCGGTGTCCTCCTGCCTGAGTACTGGCCCGACCCTACCCAAGACACAAACTGTTTCTCCTTGATAAAGCAAGATCATCCTAACAGGGGAAAATGCTGCTGGCTTCAGTGAAGATGTGACATTCATCTCTTTCCTTAAGTCCCCAGCATAGGCACTAGTCTGGAAATAAAGACCAAATCCTTGAAAGTCTCTTAAAGGAAAGCTGGATGCTCTGCCTCGGACTCGTCCCCACATTCTGGACGGTTTCCAGGTCCCTTTCTCTCCATCTCCCTGAATCACTGGTCTTTCAAAATGGATTAAACTTCCTTAAACATATTTTCTCTAATCACAGGACGTGTATATCAAGCATAGGCACTAGTCTGGAAATAAAGACCAAATCCTTGAAAGTCTCTTAAAGGAAAGCTGGATGCTCTGCCTCGGACTCGTCCCCACATTCTGGACGGTTTCCAGGTCCCTTTCTCTCCATCTCC